ATTCAAGAACTGTTTCTTTTTAAATACAAAACTAAATATCTACTGGCAAAATGACTTGACTTACTACTGCTTGATCCTAGGCCAAGAATGCACTTGCCCATGCAGTGCAGTCTGCTCGCCATGACTGTGATTTGCTGAGGGAGCAGTTTGAGGAAGAGCAGGAAGCCAAAGCTGAGCTCCAACGCAGCATGTCCAAGGCCAACTCTGAGGTGGCTCAGTGGAGAACCAAGTATGAAACTGATGCCATCCAAAGGACAGAGGAGCTGGAAGAAGCAAAGTAAGGACTCAGTATGAATTCCCTGTGATATCTTATTAGTATCTTATCCATCTTATCTGTGATGATCTGAAACTTCTGTTGTATGTTTGTTATTAGGAAAAAGCTAGCTCAAAGGTTACAGGATGCTGAGGAAGCTGTGGAAGCTGCTAATGCAAAATGCTCCTCCCTGGAGAAAACCAAACACAGGCTTCAGGGTGAAATCGAGGATCTGATGGTGGATGTGGAGAGATCTAATGCTGCTGCTGCTGCTCTGGACAAGAAGCAAAGAAACTTTGACAAGGTAACATCACACGAGAAAGAAAAACTAGCATGCCACTAAAAATTGAACATATAAAATGAACTACTTTTTGTGGTATTCACTCAGGTCCTTGCTGAGTGGAAGCAGAAGTATGAGGAGTCTCAAGCTGAGCTGGAAGGTGCCCAGAAGGATGCTCGTTCTCTCAGCACTGAACTCTTCAAATTGAAGAACTCCTATGAAGAGGCTCTGGAACATCTGGAGACCATGAAACGAGAAAACAAGAATCTCCAAGGTTGGAAGATATCATTTGAACACGATTTATCCTTTCACGTGACAGTGGACAGAGTAAATGGTACCACTAAATGAATCTTTGCTCTACAGAGGAAATTTCTGACCTGACTGAGCAACTTGGTGAGGGAGGAAAAAACATCCATGAGCTGGAGAAGATCCGCAAACAGCTGGAGCAAGAGAAGGCAGAGATACACACTGCTCTGGAGGAAGCTGAGGTGATTTTTTTTTTTTAAAAATATGACTTTATGGATGAGCTTTATTGCCTTTCTTAAATTTTCTCACTCCGAATGCTATGAGAGAGAGACCATTATCTACTATTTCCGACAGGGTACCCTTGAGCATGAAGAGGGTAAGATCCTTCGAGCTCAGCTGGAGTTCAATCAAGTGAAAGCTGACATGGAGCGCAAGCTGACGGAGAAGGACGAGGAGATGGAGCAGGCCAAGCGAAACCATCAGAGGGTGACGGACACTCTGCAGAGCTCGCTGGAGGCTGAGATTCGCAGCAGAAACGAGGCTCTTAGACTAAAGAAGAAGATGGAGGGGGATCTAAATGAGATGGAGATCCAACTGAGCCAGGCCAACAGGCAGGCAGCAGAGGCCCAGAAGCAGCTCAAGGGAGTCCACGCTCACCTGAAGGTGATGCTTCAGTTACTTACTTGCATTTTTAAACCGAGAAACAAGATAAAGCCTGAGATACATTTTTGGAAAATGTTATCATTTTAAATTCTATCACGACAGGACTCACAGCTGCAGCTGGATGAAGCTCTCCGTGCCAATGATGACCTGAAGGAGAACATTGCCATCGTGGAGAGACGTAACAACCTGATGCAGGCTGAGCTCGATGAGCTGAGGGCTTTGGTGGAGCAGACCGAACGGGGTCGGAAGCTGGCCGAGCAGGAGCTGCTGGATGTCAGCGAGCGAGTTCAGCTGCTGCACTCGCAGGTATGTCTGCAACACTGCAAACGCTATCCTGCAAGATAATATTGCGTGCTAAAGCTGCCTGATTCTCCCGGCAGAACACCAGCCTCTTGAACCAAAAGAAGAAGCTGGAGAGTGACACAGCTCAGCTTCAGAATGAGGTGGAGGAGGCTGTGCAGGAATGCAGAAATGCTGAGGAGAAGGCAAAGAAGGCCGTTACTGATGCTGCCATGATGGCGGAGGAGCTGAAGAAGGAGCAAGACACCAGTGCCCACCTGGAGCGTATGAAGAAAAACATGGAACAAACCATCAAAGATCTGCAGCACCGCCTGGATGAGGCCGAGCAGATAGCTATGAAAGGTGGAAAGAAGCAGGTCCAGAAGCTGGAGTCCAGGGTAAATGTTTCAGAACTTGGAGTGCTGTAAAATAGAGGAGTTGGTGACTTTAACAGTCTTACAAAGGATAAATTGATGGCTTCTTTTCCAGGTGAGAGAGCTGGAAAATGAGTTGGAAATTGAGCAAAGGAAAAGCAGCGACTCTGTGAAGGGCATCCGGAAGTATGAGCGGCGCATCAAAGAGTTGACCTACCAGGTAAACTCCAGGCTCTGTTCCTCTGTGATGCAAAAAATAAATAAAGGTTCTGGTATAATGAGCAGCACGTCCTGTGTAATGATTTAACAGACTGAGGAGGACAAGAAGAATCTGAACCGCCTGCAGGACCTGGTGGATAAACTGCAGCTGAAAGTGAAATCCTACAAGAGGGCTGCAGAGGAGGCTGTAAGCAAAATTATAGAAGCTTTATTTATGGAATATTCATGGATGAGCCTCCACTGGAGTTACATACTCCTGTCTTCATTTTCAGGAGGAGCAGTCCAATGCAAACCTTAGCAAGCTGCGCAAGTTGCAGCACGAGCTGGAGGAAGCAGGGGAGCGGGCCGACATAGCAGAGTCTCAGGTCAACAAGCTGAGAGCAAAGAGCCGTGACTCCGGAGCTAAGGTCAGTCATGCAAAATAGGTCCAACATTTTATTTAAAAACCTGTAATTCTTTTGAAAACAAACAGAAAACACTTTAAAATGTGATCATCATTTCTGTCTTTACAGAAAGGAGAAGAGTAAACCCACCACTCACCGGGTTTTCATGGCTGCAGTTAAAATGTAGTGCTGTAGCTCTTATTGTCCATGTAGCCTGAGTGCAATAAAGAATAAACGAGTTCTGAAAGCACCCCTATTCTCTGCTGTGTATTTGTATAATACAGTTAAAAGCATGCAAAACCTCCACCACAGTAACACAACCGTGAAACGACAACTGAGTTAGTCTTCGAGCCTCCACAAACCTTTGGATGTTTCTGAAATATAAGATAATAAGAGTGCAGACTTGTAAAAACAGCACAGCTAGTCAGACACGACCAATAAAAAGAAATCGAATAAACTTCTTTTTAGTTATGCATCGGCCGTGAAGATTAAAATATTAAGTCTCTGGATGAACTTGAACTTTGAACCTCAAGTTTATTCTGCTCATAAACTAAAGCGTGTCTTTGCTCACCTGTGATCCATGTTTGCAAACCAGTCCTGGACTAAAGCACAATAACGGCCATGCTTATCTTACGACTTCATGGCATTTCTTTCTAACAGTAACAGATGACTCCCCCAGAGGGCGCTGCAGTCTCGCACATAAAGCAGTGCATGAAATGAAGAGCACATAATCACCACTGGATAGCCAAATAACATGGACTCATTTCTCCATGATACTGAAGGAGGAAATGAAGTAAAACATTTTTTTTCCTCTCTAAATTTTCTAAACTACAAAGTTTAGGGTGAATTTGTGAATAAACCTTAAATTCTACCTGAATCCAAGTAAAACAGAAAAAACAATGAGTGGAAATACTTCAAAAACAGACTGCTTGTCATGAGGGTTACAATATTGATGATATAATAGGGTCAAAGTAAATGTATTAATTACATGATATAAAGGTTACCTACCTTACAACATAACCTCATAAAGAAAACAATAGAAGAAAAAACATTATTGTAACTGAAACCGTTTCCAAAGCAGTCCTTCTCGTTTGTTAACCGCTGCTGAATAGCTGCACCTGCAGTAACAAAACATTTTCCTGTTTGATGCCAACGCGGCTGCGTCCATGCTGGAGCTCCATATTAAAGAGACCAAAACATGTTTGTTTATTGTCAGGTGCAACCTAATACTGCTCTCACATGTGATCTGCAGCTCTCATACCAAACAGACGGCAGGCACTCGGAGTGTCGAGATGCCTACAGTGACTCAGATCTCCATTTTTCCGTTGCAGATCCCAGACTTTCATGCGGGCCTACATTGGGGGCGTAAACTTCATAATGGCGGTGCAGTGGTGAGCTCTGTGTGGGCTTCCTTGGGGTGCTCTCTTTCCACAGTCAGTCAAAAAGTCTTTGTGTGGTCTGTGAGGCTAAGGAAGTCCAATATAAATACAGCCCCCTGTACTGAACATCTAAAAAACAAAAACATTGATTACTGCAGATACTGACCCTTTACACCTTCGGTGTACAATTACACTTCCTCCGGTACACTCCCATGTGCAACAGCCTGATTCAGCGCTTTAATACTAATTTAAACCTTATCAGTTAGACTCCTATCTGTGTCTTTATCAGAGAGTTCTAGGCCTGACTTTGCTCTGGGCGAGGCCGTTGTCTGAAAAAGGCGTTTCACCTCCTTTTTACACTTTCCCCTTTTATGACATAAGATGGAAAACCACATTCAACTGCTCTGAAGAGTATGACACACGACGTGAAGCAGCCATGCCCTTCCCTGGTGATGTCATGGCTAATAACACAAAGCAGATTGTGGCATCTTAGTGAGAGTCTCTCCGGGAAAAATTCGACATGCATGGGAGAGGAAGTCTGGGATACAAGTACACTGCCAGCAAGAACTCTAATGGATGTTTTATCTAATGATCAACACACAGTGTGTTGACAACAAAAGGAAACACCCGCTTGAACAATGTGCGACCGTTGAACAGCCCCACCTAGAGCACACATTATTTTAAGAAATTAGCATCCACCAAAGCGCTGTGATTGATTTGATCACTGACGTTCCCTACAGACTGGAATTCACAACCAAATCTTTTGTCATGCCAATTATCAACATACCTTTTCACTTAAAGCATGCGAGCACTGCAATGGACAAAACTAATGACTCAAGGACAAATCATGCCGATGATGGTTATATAATCTGACATAACAACAAAAGTGTAACCAAGGTGATGAGAAATCCCCAAAACATCAGGTCTTGTTAGAAATATTACATTTATTTATAAAATAGATATATTAAGAATTTATCACTGTGCAAATAAGAGCAGGCACCGTATAGAGCACTTTATAAGGGTGAAAACAAATGTTAATCATATCAAGATTATATTTCATCCCTAAGTACAAAAAAAACCATTTTAAACCAAAACTCTTCCTGTTTTGAAAAACAAAACAAAACAAGTGCTAAGAAAATATCAGCTTTACGATTAGAACATTTACCAAAAACTAATTTCATTTCTTAAACATAGCAGAACAGAGATGATGGAATATCATATGACAGCACATTTATCCACGTTACCTCAGTACTTATTGCTACCTACTAGGATGAAATGCAAACCTAAAGACTTGTGCAAAAAGCCTAAGCTTACAGAGTAGTTTGTTCTTTGAAACAACTACAAAGATACAGCATATACCTCACTAATGCCATGCGACACTCAAACTATAAATGTCTATTTGTTATCCAGGAATTACAGGTCTGCATTCAAATACAACATATGGTACATACTTAAAACGTATTTAAACTTATGCTGATAATCCATGCTTACTTGTATTGTGTATATTTTTACCCTGACCACAACAACCACTTCCGAAAACCAAATCATGCAGGATACCTGGTGTCCCGACTGAGCTCAGGTCTCAACAGAGTGAAAAAACACAAAACAAAAAAACAAAAGCAGGAGAGATGCAGATGTCATTACACAGCAAAAGATTACAGCACCTCCTTTATCCCCTCCCTCATGGATGTTTCAGAAACTTGCATTTTTAAAGCACTTGTTCTGCTTTTACAGTTCTGTCTCTTTTTCTCCCTCATCATCTGTTTCTAAGTAGTATTCGTCATCAGTTGTTGTGTCCGAGCTGCTGTCTGATGACTCATCAAAGGTGCTGAGGCTGGATACATAACCTCTGGAGGGCAAATGCCCCCTGGACTGGCTGTCCCCTGGATGTAGTACTCCTGGCGAGCTAGGAAAGGTCGGAGAGGAAAGGCTGGGTGCTTTGGACATGCGCCTGGACACTGGTGACAGAGGAGGTGTTGGAGGAGGAGTGGGCGGGGCCTCTGCATCCCACACAAACTGGCAAATGTTCATGTTTGGACTCCGGAGGTGAGCAGGCTTGGAAGCTGTAGCATTTACATGTTGAGGAGAGTCTCCAGAGCTCCAGTTTGCCAAGCACCTGGTAAGCGATCGAGGCAAAGATCTTGATCGCATTTTACCAGGATCACTTGGGAAATATGATTTTCGACCATCCTCAGAAGCCTGAAAGTCATACACTGTGCTCCAATCGGATTTGACAGACCACTGATCCAAATCTCCACTATTACCTCCACAAGAGAAGGCAGACTGAGAGAGGTCACCCACACTCATGAATCTGGATCCTGTGGAAATACGTCCCGGTCCAGAGGGTCGACTGGAGAGAACAGAACTCACAGAAAAGGACTTCCCAGGCTCAATGCCATACTTTAAGTCTGCATAAGAGGATGCCAAGTTTTCCTTGTCATGTCCTGGGCTCACACATGGAGGACCTACGGATGCCCGGCTTTTTCTTGGAACCCCCAAGCTGATCCCTTCTCCGTGCTCGCACGGAGAGGAGCATTCTCTGCGGCGGTGCAGCTTTGGGCTGTAGAAGACGCTGTCGTCTGTTACATCAGACGAGGAAAATGGGGACATTGGTGAAAGAGAGGAGAAGGGAGAGAATGGACTCCTGGGGCTAGGTGTGGATCTCCTGAATGAAGCTGGAAAAGCTGGACTTCTACTGGGACTTGGATCTCTGGAAGAGAGGCTTGTTGCTTTATAATCTACTTGGTCTTGTTCAAGGTCTAACTGGTCAACTGTTGGACCGTGGACCGTCAGATAAACTGGGCCTTTCTTTTCAGAAATTTGTTCTGCACAAGCATTTTGCATGTCACGGTCTGTTTCTAGAGATGATTTTTCGGTCCAGCTGGAATGCTGATTTCCAACTTTTGTGTTTCCAGCAGCCGAGGACGGTATCAGAATGTATCTATCTTGCGTCCACCTGTTCGAAGCCTCTGTTTCCTGATTGTCGTTCAGCACCATTACTTTCTCTGGCACTGTTTCCTCTGGAATTTTGCTACTCTCAACACTCACATCGCTCACATCGCTCGATCCGCTAACAGAAGGTGCTTGTGAGGTTGACCATCTTGTGCTTAATTTTTGCTTTAGTTTGCTAAAGACTTGGTCTACTTTGTTGTTACTCTTGGCCCTGTCTGACTCTGACCTTGTCAAACTGGAGTTTGGTGTACTGACGCTCTTCTTCAGTGCAAATCGGCTTCTCTTTGTGTTTTGTTCATTATTAACGTCCACTGAGAAAAACCTGCTTTTCCCCATTATAGTCTCCTTCATGCTTTTGCTGGAGTCTTCTGTCTCCCGGGACTGACTCTCTGTTGAGCTGCTGCTGTTGGAGCTCTGACCTGAATGACGACATGGTTCACCTGCTGCTCCTTTACTCTGCCCTGTCAGGGACTGTTGACCAAATTTGGTCTCCATGGAAACCGGCGTGTTATTGGTATGCTGTAAAGCATTAGGTGTGGTGTTTTTTGCGGCTGTCGATGCATCTACTTTGGATTTAAGGCTGTAAACCAGTGTCTCAGTTACATATGTGGAGCCGTCTGCCTTATCACCTTGCAGGGAAGGAGGTCTGATGTGAATTCTGTTGTCTACAAGTAACAGCTTTCGCTCTTGGCCTTTATCTCCGCTGTTATTGTTGCTTGCTCGATCAGCTTCTGAAACCTCAACATTTGGACTTTCTTGTTTGGGAGGTTTCTTTTGGAGGGGTAAGGACAGGGAAAGGGAGGGTCTGGGAGGTGACATAGGAGGTTTGGATGTGGATAAGGTCATGACTGAAACTGGGTCAGTATTTACAGAGAGATGTGGGGTGTAATTTGACTGGGAGGGTTGTGAGAAGAGGGTTGGTCTGGTCGTTCTCGTCTTTGTCCCCCCTTGTGTCATCCTTGCGGACATGAGCGTGGAGTAAGGAGGAGAGCTATAACGAACCTTATAGCCACTTGAAAAGTCAGGAGGGAGGGAGACAGGAGCTGAAGTACGGCACTGAACTGTGCCAGATTCCACTGATAGTGTCCTTTCATGCCTTGGTGTGGGCAAGTCCTGTCTTCCCTGGTAAAAAATCATAGTATCACCAGCTCTTTGCTTGCTTCGCTCAAACTCCCTGAATGCTAAATCAGCCGAGTCAGATGATAAGGATCTATACTTTCCTGGTTTTTCCACCTCAGTGCTGGAGGTCTTGGGTTTAGGGGGACAAACAGAAGAACTTGTTGAACTGCTCAATCTCAGAAAGGAGAAGATGGATGGAGCATTTCGCATGTGCTTAGATGTAGCTTGAGGGGTCGCTTGGACTTCTGACGACTCTGGCTTCTCCACAGCGATGGACTCTGACTGTTGCAGATCCACTGAGTCATCCCATGTCACTCTTCTCACTTTCTTTTTCTCAAGTTTCTTTGGCTCTTTCTCTGAGCTGCTGGAATATTTCCCCTCTTTTTTAGGGCTTGAAGTTTCTGAAGTGGAGTTGGTAATAACTGGGGTTGCAGGAGGCGTTAGGAGAGTGGAGACAGTGGCAGAGGTAGGAGAGGTAACGGCAGAGGTGACAGCAGGACTGAGAAGGGAAGAACTTGAGGCAGTGGTGGCTACAGGGTGGCTGCCAGTGGCAGAGGAAGAAGAGTTGGAAGCAGTGGCGCTATAGTCTTTTTTGGAGACAGAACAGACTGTGGAAATCAGACTGGACATACTTTTAGGGTGGAAAGGTTTAGGAATGGAAGCATAACTTCTTTCAAATCCAAGAGGTGTGGCAGAGGAAATGTTGGTAAATTTTGTTTTCTGGGACAAAGAGCCAGTGGAGGTTGCATATGCCGAGGTATGAATATTGGTCTGAGAAGGAACAGACTGAGAATGGTAGGAAGGACTACTTTTCATTTTTGAGGTTTGGGGACCAGAGGCATTTTGAGATGTATGAACTTTACCATTGACAGTACTGGTGATATCAAGAGAGAGCGGTGTGCTGATAAACCTGTGTGAGTCTACGCTGTGAGGAGGCATGGGGGTGTTGTTGGGTTTGGGTGGGAAATAATTATTTTTGTACTTGCTGCTGCTCTCTGTGGGTGTATCTGAGCTCCTGGGATTTTGCAAAGCAGATGGTAACTCAGACATATTTGCTGTATATGAACTATCGGTTAAATCATATTTGCCTGGATCTTTAGGTTGACACAGTGTTGTTTGTGCTGTAGCTCTGCTAATTTTAGAACTAGACAAAACATCTGGCACACTGTGCGGCTTTGGGTATTCTCTGTTGTTTACATTTGAGCTATACTGGTCCTTGACAGACCTGTGCAAATCACAGTCAGGTGAATTCCCAGCATTTCTTTGTCCGAGATGGTGAGTTCCTCCCTGTGCCCTCATAAAAAGGTTCATATTACCTGTGCAAACTGACTCTGCTGTGTTATTGTTGTCTCTGTTGTTGTTGACCGGACTACCCCTGCTTTTGTTATCAGGCTGACTTGGAGATGTCATGTCACTATTATTATTGGAGGGTGGAATTAAGGTTGTGTTTGGCTTGTCTTTGTTGTTGGTTGTGTCTTTTGGGGTGAAAGGGAAACTGCTTTCCTGGGTAACTTGCTTCCACCAGGAAGTTTGTTTCAGCGTGGTCCTTTTAGGAAAGGACTGGGTTTTCACTTGGGCAGAAGAGTCAAATGGGGGCTGTCTGGACAAGGAGACTGGGGTCTCTGAAAATAGAGTTTTACTTCTGTCCCTGTAGTTCTGTTGACTTTCTGATGGTCCTTTACCTAAAAATGTCTGTGAGGATGTGAGACTGGACTGAATCCTATTTATTGTCAGAGACTGTTGGACAAAGGGTTTGCCGTCTGCATTTTTGTCCACTGGTAAAGGTGCAAAGATGAACCTGTCAGAGGTGCTCTGCTCTCTCAGGCTGGAGGGTGATGGGGAAAGGACAGGGCTAGTTTCAGTTGTCCTGTAAGAAATAGATGATGGAGAGAGGAGCGGCTTTGGCCTCTCTTGTTCATTATTATTGAGAAAGCTCTGTGAGAGATTCTTGCCACCGATGTTGCCTCTCCTTAAAGAAAGAAGTACGTTGCTGGTTGTTGGTTTGGAGCTTGAAGATGAGTGTCCACCTTGATGGACAGTTTGTGGATTTTGCCTTTGTTCATTTTGGCTCTGCGATACAGAGGCACTGGTAGCTAAAGTGCTTAAAGAACCTCTGTCTATTTTTCTATTGTCCATCCTTCCAGAGTTCACGTCCAAAGAAACAGTTTTAATCATTTCCCTTTTAGATTCCAAGCTCAAAGGATCACTTTTAGTTGACCAGTCCACTGTGTTCCTCCTGAGATCTGAAAATGGAGGCCTCAGTTGGGTTCCCAGTCCACCTGTAAACCCCCTCTCCACACCATGTTGGCTCCGAGTCTGCTGAAAACCACGGTTTGCTGCAGCACCTGTCACATCTTGCGTATTTCCCTGGGCTTCAGAGCTGCCGGTTCCATCAAATCTTTTGGAACGTCGCAGTCGGCCACTCCAGTGAGGAGCGAGAACCGTGACCATGGAGGAAGACAACATAGTTCTGGGCGGGTCAGCTAATTCCTGAAGACGGTCTGCAAGGCCTTTTGTACGGTCCTGTATATTTCCCTCTGACTCAGCTCGAGTTAGAGATCCAGTGTAAGTCCTTGGTTGTGATCCAAATGGAAGTCTGTGCAAGGCATTAAGCTTATGTGTCCCAAAGTCACTATTTGAACAAGCCTGAGTTCTGCTCAAGTCCCTGGTAATCTCCAGTTCATTGCAATCAGCAGTGATGACCTTGTCTTTCTCCTTGGCTGGAAATGGTATTACCTCTGACAATCGATAGATGCTGGGTGCCTCTATAGAGGTTTGTGATGCAGACGTTCTTCCATTAATCTGTTAAAATAAAAACTTTTACTGACAGGACCCACTTTTTGCATACTAAATTACAATTTTCTGAACACCTGCCATCACCAACAATTAAAATCTTAATACTTTAAACTTTATAATATTTATAATATAAATAAAAAAAAGTTCTACAAAACAATTCCTATGACCCATACTAGGATATTCAATAACATATATTTGCATTTGCCTAGCTGTATCATTAAAGTCCAATGATTTTCATATTCACATTAAATTTGGGCTTATCATATTATACCAATGCAAATTCTGTGCACAGGAATGTAAAAAGCTTTCTAACTTTGACAGCTAGTGATCAATGGTAGCAGCTTTTCAGAATTTTAAATTGCCTGCACTGAGGCCCAAGCTTTTCTTGAGTGTCTGTTCCCATGCAGTAGTTATTTAAGAGATCCTTGACAAACAGGTTATCTTGAAAGACATGAAAGATTAGCAGGGAAACACACTCACAAGGAACACAAACACACCCTGTCACTTATAACTGTTAAAATAACAATGAATCTAAAACCATATTTTTAACATGGTGTCACCATTGCTTTATGTGACTTTTCAAAGATTTTTAAACACTTGAAACTTCTGATCTGTACTTTTGATTAGATTCTGGATTCTGGATCAGTGGGAGCAAAGTTTGCAATTTCACATTTGGTCTATATCAGGTTTACACTGTGCGTGTGTGTAATGTGCTTGATTCTATTAGACTATAGTCTTTACCTGAAAACTGCTGTCCTTGATCTCAACTCGCTGTGGTTCAATCAATCTGTTGATACAAAGAGAAGACACAGTGTATTAGATTTATGGGTGCATGCTGCAGCTGCGACAGTTCTGTGAAAAAGGAAACTGAGACATTGTCACAACTTTCTAAAATAATGCACTTTTTTAGTGTTGCAGGGCAAATTTTGTTGCATACAAAGACACACACAACTGGGGCAATCTTTGATTTTGTTAGTGGTGAATGTGCAGTGTAAACTTAATTTTTCTTAATTTCTGCTACAAGTCTCATTTCTGAATGTCAGACGGTCCAACTGTTTTGAATGAAACATTAGAGGGATTAAATCTAGAATTTGCCACAGCAATGCCGATCGACGGGAACGTTCGCATTCCTCACATCAATCACCGTCTCTAAACACAACTTTCTCACCAGCAGATGTAAACTAAAGTCACACCTACTAAGCAATCATGCAAACACTTACTTACTTTTTTAAATTGATGTGGAACACGTTGTACAAGTACAGTTCACACACAAGTTGTCTATATAAGGCCATGTTGGACTGACATGAACGCAGGTAACTAGTACACAGTGAAAGGGGGCGTGGCTTTGACATAACCAATAAAGCGTGTTTGATCTGAGACCTCTGCTGACAGGCTTATCTTATTCTAATAAAAACCTCTGACACAATGTTATAAGCAGCTATTATATAATGTTAGATTAAACTATAGAAAAGGTAAATATTTTCCTGAGGCAAAACCAAGGCAACAAGTTTCACCTAAAATAACCTCAGATTCTCCTGCATGACTGATTTAAGGAAGTTTCTCTGTATAACAAATGAAACCACAGGTAGATGATTAATAAAACATGTCACATTGACTTTGAGAATGTAAATACAGACTTCCACACATAGGATTGCAAGAGCTACACATCTTCTCTTCTTCCGAATTCCAGAGGAAACACTGTTTAAAATATTTTAAAACAAGAAAAACAATGCATTCGTACTACTGAGACATAAGCTAACACACTTTATTAAGCGTACGTCCGCGTTTATGCAAACACTTGACTCTTCCAGGTCCTTTGTCTCAGACTAAAGAATGCAGACACAGCTCGTTTACTGATTGACAGGATGTTGTAAATCGAGTGATTAAAATGTGATCAGTGGCCGGCGTTCCTCTTTGCAGACCTCAGAAACAGTTTGTGAGATGTAGATCTACCGCTTATTAGGAGACACACTTGGAAAAAAATGTAGGGAAGATCAGTTCAGTACACCTCAAAACACACAAGGAATCAAATCCCAGGGTTCTCTGATATGTCTCAGTCATTTCAAACTCTGAAGGCTCCGCCCATGGGTGTGTCTGAAATAGGGTGGCACTCGTCCCTCCCTTAAAAACTTTTGCTTCATTTAAGTATTTACAGGAAATCTATATTTGTGTAATTTGTGTAATATTGCATTATAGATCAAGTTATATAGCTTTTACTTAAGTAAAAAAAATGTTTCCACGTTGCAAAGCAACTATCCATCACAATACTGTTTAAATTCTTGTGCAGCTGCACTTTTCACATAATAAATCTACAATAGGACGCAGGGCTGTGTATGAGCTTGAAAATTGTGGTTTCTACACCAGTTTTCCACACTTGTTAATGTCATACAGTAGGGCTGCAACTAAAGATTATTTTGGTAGTCAACTAATCTGCTAATTTTTCTTTGATTAGTCAATGAATATTTCAATAACTCTTTTCTCCCCTTCATGTTGGCAAACCTCCTGTTCTAGGTTCTAGTACCTCACCTGCTCAAGTCTGTCCACCTGTGAGGTCACCCTGTTGTCTCGTCCCATGCTAACCATGCTAAAGATGCTCTCTGTCAAGACTTCAGCCAGAGGTGCAGTGCTCTTTACAGGACAAACTCATCTATACACCTTTGCTTAATACTAGTAAAACAGAACAATACAGAATTAGAAATCACTAATTAGTAATAACTAATAATTTGGTTGCATAGCATAGTGTCTCAGATTGTGTAGTGTTCGAAGCCATTTAAACTCTTTATATGTATAATTAATTACTGATACGGTCCAACCCACAGATTAGCAACCTAACGTTAGATGGAAGAGGTTTACTATCCAGAATAAATGCTCATTTTAATTTGAGAAAACAAACAAACAAACTAGGAGGCAGAGTAGCTAATCCTGTTTAATGCTTTACTATCACATTTCACTCATTAGCTAACAAAACTGAAAAACTGTGTTCACATGGCAAGCATCATCCATGGGAAGTTTCTGACAGGTAGGCTAACATAAACACTACTGTACAATCATTTACATAAACAAGGTATAAATGCGACACACTAAATTAGCTCTCTAAAGCTGAACCATTCATAGTTGATGTCATAGCTCCAGGGAGCTCGTTACAAAAACACATTGAGAAGGTATTTGTGTATGATGTGTCGACAATAAGATTTTGTCCCGATTAATTTTTATAACCGACGTCATCAATTATAGTGACGAATTGTTGCAGCCCTATCATACAGACAGATGGGGAGTAACATGATTATGGGATGCTGTCCTGAATGCCAGAGCAGAACAGACTGTTCACTGACGTGTGCTCCAGAAACAAAGTGTCTAAATGAATCTAATCAAGGCCAGTCAGTAAATGTATCCCTTCCCTTGCTTACCTGTATAAACTCTTGCTGTGTTTTATGCCTGGATTAGTGGAGAGTCTGAGGACGTGGCAGGAGGTGAAGCTGGACTGCTGGAACTGGATATCTGCATCACCACAGGAAGAAGTTTGGTCCTTTCTTAGTGCTGCAACACATTCAGAATTCAGTGATTATGAGGTGTTTGCAGCTGAAACCCAAAACAGAAGAGATTCTTGACTTAACTTTTTAAGAGCTATATCTTAAATGTGCGTATGGAGTGTCAGATGCACGTTTCACCTTTGTGTGTTTCCTTCTGTGTGATTGCTGATTGGTGAGAGAACTGCTCAGCTGGGCGTTTGTCACCATGGCGTTCCTCCTGCTTAAACGTTTCACCAAATGTTTCATCTTGTTGTTCTCTAAAAATAAATAAATAAATGAACAAATAAAAACTTGATGCAAAATAACTAAACTTGAACTCGATTATTCAATTTTTGCGTTGAGCATTTTCTCTCTGCGCAAACTCAACACTTTGAAACATTTTTTAGTAATAATGTCTGTTCATCTGTCACACCGAGAACGGGCTCTACAGAAAGACAGCCTTCCTTGTTCTGCTTCAAAAAAAAAAGATAAAGATAACTACGTACTTTTTTTCAACAGCTCCATCAGTGGTTTCATATCTACCCACCAGCAGTCACAGGAAGTTAAGAAGAATTTATCCTAAACTGGATTTCACACAAAACCCTAAAACTACGTACATACTCAAAAATAAAGAAGCGATGTGATTCCCCCCTTTAGTATGATGATGACTAAAAGCAGCATCACCAGACACAGTAATACTGCAATATTTTTACCAATGTTATGATATTATTGCAATTTTTTTTTTACAATTTGCGATTTGCTTAGCATTCCAATGATGATTTATCACCTATTTCCAAGTGCAAATTATGTCCTTTATTTTTTTTATGCAAAAAGAGATCGTCACTGTCAGTGTATAGTTCCATCTACAACATCTTTTCCTGTCCACTCAAAAGTCTAAAACTCAAAAAGAGCCGTATTATTATTATTGTTTGGTCCGCTGTAATCTAGTTTCCGCAGCATGAAATCAAACTGAGAACTGAAGGAAATTCAAGCAGCCGTGCTTCTCTCATCTCATCATTCCGGCAGTGCTGGACCGATAAGCAGTGGTTATATAACTATTCGGCATCTCGTTCCACACTTTCTGTTACAACCAGGGTACAGAGCTAACACACCCACTCACTCAAACATGCATATGCACATTTACTGCCGCAACCCAACGCTGAACCCACGCTGGCGTGCCAACTACCGATCACGATGATGACACCAGAACAAAGATGAGGCGGTTACTGAAACAGAAATGTACGTGTCGCTGCAACCTTTGTTCGGTAAACAGAACAAACGAAATGGCAACAATTATCTCTTACAGGACATTCTGGGATCACTTTCTCTATTTTTATTGCATTCAGCAGTTTGGAAGTGGATGGAAATTGTTGCTTAGGAGTCTTTATCTAACCTGTGGTGCTTTTTGTGATCACAAAATGAAGCCCTTTGATTTTTTTTTTTGTAATAACATGGCACATCATAGAAAGCTGTAGCTCTCACTATCCACCTTGCCTTCAGGGGCCACTCATTGGCCTCATTAGAGTGCTGGGAGGCGATTATAAAAGCCTGCCACGACATGACATGAGAGAGGAGCGGAGAGAAAAGAGGAAGGCAGGGAAGGAGATCTTCGCGCTCTTCTACAGCATTTCAGAGCCAAAGATAACACACCTTCAGTGAACCCCAACCAGCTGCAGAACTCTTCCCACATCACGGCTGTGTCAGTGCTTATCAACCTGTAAGAGCCCTGGTTGATAAGTGACAGGTCTGTGATTAGTGATCACAAGCACAAGACCCAATTTAGAAAGTATATTTTTAATTTATGTGACTAGTGAAAGGTATATGGCTTTTCTTTTAATCATTATCTGCATCACTAGCTCCGTGGTTACATAAACATGTGCTGATTTGTCCACCTGAGGACGAAGGTACAGCCTGACGGCTGCAGTCACACAAACTGCTGAAGTAATCATGAAATCGATCGAGCACTGCGGTGCCTCCAGACCGCTACCACCACGTAGCTCCATTAACTGAAACAAACTTAAAAATGATGTACGTGGACTTTGGTGCCACTTTGAATGGATATTTTGTTTATTCCCTGATGGCCAAGAGTTAGGACAAGGACATCAAACTCATCATCACATACAGCCTACACTGATTCACAAATTATTCACAGCAACAGTTACACCAAGGTCCTTTATATTAAAATAGAAAACATAAGATAATATAGGAAAAATAAATACAATTTTGAGAAATGGTGATGCAATAAATGAAAGAAATCTGTCAGCATGATTAAATCGTAAACAAATGTATGAAATTGCAATTATAATTATAATAAAAATATATATAATTATTAAAGAAAATGTTTGTGAATCACTGAAAATGTTTTTTTTAACCCAATGTAAATAAATAAATAACAGAAATGTTTTTAAAGCTTTTCTGTGGGACAAATTGGAGTCATTGCTTGGCCCCTGGGCCTTGTGTTTGACACCCCTGACTTAGGAGAACAATTCAATAAATTCAATAAAAACATAAATTGCATAATCTGATTAGCCAGGGATACAGTAGGGTTAGACATGGCGTTGTCACGGGCTAAATTTTCACTGTTCCCTTTCAGTAGATGGAATGTAATAGCTCAATACTAAGGTAGTTATTTCCTCTGTTAATTGAGCGCGTCCTGGATATCAGTTCTGGCTAAAATCGGTCCGGCTGCTGATTGATACAAGAATATGTGTTAAGACATGCTGAAATACCTCACCTACGAGGCATCCCTGAGGCGTCCTATTCAGAAATCCCAATCATCTCGACTTGTATTTCAGCTATGAATTTTATTTTATTTTTTTTACAATTTATTTCTTCGTTTTTCACAAAATTAAATGACTGGAAAAATTATTGCTATTGGCGTCAGATATTGGCTGTCCTACAAAAAACACGTACTGCCTCAGAATTTCACAATTTGTGCGTTCCTACGTTATTGTCTTTGAATAATTAAAAAAAAACTGTGGCAAGTCTTCACACATCCCCAGCTGTCACTGGGTAGTTTTGTTCAGCCACGAAACGCTCCAAATGTGAACAACTCAAGATGGAAGAAATGCCAAATGCTTAGTATTGGTACTTTTGAAAATATGACTTGAAAACGTCTTTACTGAACTAAATCTTGGTAGCATGCTCTGGTTAAAAACCAGATGGATTTGAATCCATGTTGAATAACTGAAGTTATTTTCAATTGCAATTATTCAAATTGCTTATTCAACTTACAGATGGTGTATTTTTTTTTTTGCTAACAAGAAGACAAATTAGCAATTTCTTTTTCAGTTTAGCTGAGTTGTTATAAACTGTCCAGGATGACCGTGTAAATGCATGAAATAATAAATCTATAACCTCATGTGTAGGCATCAGCGACCTCTGATCCCCTGTCTGCAGATGCACAATGCTTGTGCTACCCCGTGCTGTGAATTGGGACTCTGTTTGTTTTGATGGCTTTGCGAGCTGATGAGTAATGCAATTGTAATCCGTGAGAGACTCTTTGAGCCACAGTGTTGTGCACAGAGACGCTCGTAAAATTATGTTGGTGTGTTCCCTTCACTTTAGGTCAGCTTTGCTGTGGGTGTGTGTCCATATCTGCCAACTAACACTTACATAACCGCAAGGATCCAAGTGTGGGTGTGAACTCAGCACTGACAATCACATGTGATGCTCCAACTCCGGCAAATGATTTACACCTCAAACTTCTATTTCAGGTTCACCTAAAGACAACTTAATCACTTTGCCTCCATGCAATGTTGGCCGAGACAAAGTGAGACTTGTTCTTTTGCTGCCACGCCTCGAGTCCCTGTCAGATTTCCAGTGGTGTTATTTATTTTTCAGCCCATAGGTAGGAACAGAGTGGATAGACTTAGGAGGAATTAGCAGGAGGATGTGGAGATAAACAGAGGCAGAGCCGTGGACATGCACAGGCAGCAGGAGTGTGTGTGCCTCAGAGTGAACTCTGGGCCTGGGTGTGCATGTATGAGCTCGCCTGTTAAGATTGAGAAGCTGAGCTGCACAGAAGTACAACACTGATGATGCCACAGTGTGTGGTTTAGTTTAGTCAATGACAAAGGCATGCACCCACACACGATATAAAAGGCAGCTCAGCTTGATAACGCAGTGAATTCATAAGTGCATTCAGTAAAAAAGGAAGAAGCATAAATCCTATGCTCAAAAGCTCCTTTCATTACATTCTGCACTCAGTCTTTAGAAATATGCTTGAGCCCAGTCGTGTCACGTTTCATGAGTAAGAAAAAGAGCGTGTCACCAACCAAAAACCCTGTTCAAAACTCTAACGCCCTGCATCCAACCACCCCAACGGAGCATCTACACGGTCGTTACATCAATATGAAGTCGTCATTTATACAGAACAGCACATAACACACAATAATCACTGATATTACTTCTCTTCAAAAAGTTCCACCCGCCTCTTTACTCTGTTTAAAGCAGCAGGTGGGCGCAAAGCAGCTGTAAACCACGTATAAATGGCGAAACGAGTGAAATATCTCAGTGCCGAATACGATGCAATAATGTGATAAATGTTCACAACGGTTCTCTCGGCTGTGAGGTGTTTGTGCGTTTCAAGCACACCGCTGCTTCTGTAAAAATAGATGTTTTTTAAACGCGGTTTGGCACGGAGGCTTCTCTTTCCTCTCGCTTCGCAGTTAAAAAGGCAAAACGAGGCTAACACGGCATACAGGAGCGGCTAACATGTCGTTTTAAAAGCCTCATAAATACTAGATAAACACAGGGTGGTTGGTAAAGTTGACTTTTGGGAGCTTTCCACCTACCTTGCAGTTGTAGCCCGTGTCCTTGTTGCTGCTGCTGCTGGTGGTGTCCCGTACAGAGGCGTAGCTGTCTCTCCTCCTACAACTCTGAGCTCTCCTGCGTCACTTGTTGACATCCTATTTTAACCGGTTAAGTAAGCCTTCAGCATTCAGACTGGATTTAGAGAACATCTTAAAAATTTGGTGCGGAATTTAGTCCAAACTTCCCTTGAGAACAGCCCAGGTACCTGTGACCGGGAGAACCACTCACTGCTGGTTAAAGGTCAACTCTTTCCGTGACGGACAGGTGAGCGGCGGGCAAATGAGCCCGGGCAAACAGACCTGCTGCTGAGGCTCTTATCTAGAAACGTCACCCACTTGGATCATTTCCTTCTCTGGTCACTTTGAGGAAAAAACTGCCATTAATGCTTTCTGGCAGCATGCCCTGGAGGCACACCTTTGAACAAAGAAGGAAAGTACTTTTACAAGGCCCTCTGTCAGGCGCGTTTGCAGGATTATTTTGTAATGGGGTGACAGTACAAAGAAGAAAGAGAAATCTGAATAGCTGATCAGAAAAAGAGTGTACAGTAGAAAAATTGGATTACAGTACAGTTGGCAAAAATTTAATTTTTACTTGAAAGTCATAATCCTGCTTAATTGGCCTAACATTACAAATGTCCATAAAAATGTCTTCAAACTAATCTAAGGTGGAGCCCCCCATGCCCAAACTGCTGAACGCACCCCTGCATTCTGCAGACCTTGTGCTATGTGGTAGAGGTGGAGCAGATTGATCCAGATATGACAGCATTGTTACTATCCTGGTATTGGTATATAGGATTGATTCATTGTTTCTAAGCCCAGTATGTAGCCCACTGAACTGTGTTACATTAAATAGGTTTTTTTTTGGAAATGAAGAAAATATACTTCAAACAGACACTATTGTGTGATGTCATGTCTATTGTATTTATAGCCTATAGCACATTTAATTAACAAGTTTCAAAATGCATGAAAAGCTAAAAGGTGTGGTTAACTAATTGTTGTGAGAAGTAAAAGCAACAGTGATTTTGTGGTCGGTAAAATGTGTTCAGAAATTTGCAAACTGATGATGATTCATCTCACAAATCCTGACACATTGCTCTCCCCTATATGAGCAGGCTTTATAGGGTAAAGGTTTTGGTATCTCTGAGAATTCTGGCCTTGTATTCACTTGATATCGGATCAGTGCCAAACAATGCCTAACTCTCCATTTGAGGTTATTTATGATACAAAAACACACACTTAGGTTTATTCTTTCAATTTCTTTGAAAAATAGTATTGCAGTCATTTTCCTGTTGCAGTCAGTCCTTGGGTTTTTCCAAAGAGGTGTTCTGGGTTATTTGTTCTCGCACTCAACAGTTTTCTCTTTCCATTTCTTTGCAAAATCATTTCACATGTGGCTTTTCTGGTTTTTTGTTGATTCATTGTTCGTCCTTTCAGGATCACAGCTTTCACACCAACTGCCAGAAACGGTTTCTGCATGGATAACAGCACCATCTTCCTGCTCTGCCACACTATTGTTGCAACATTTTGTTGCCCATGTGAGAAGGAATGCAGGAGGCTGTTGTTTGTACAAGGATCAAAGTGAAAATGTAAATTTACTGGTGTCAATCAACGTAAAACCAAAAGCAAAATATGAAAATAAGCTGCAAAAGGTCTGGTTAGTGGGCTAAAACCTCAAAAGAGTAGAACCAGTTTCAGTATAAATTAAAGGTGCAATGTGAAAAATCTCACCACTAGATGTCAGTAGTTCACTGTCAGCTAAGTTCTTTTTTCTTACCCCTGCCAAGTGCATAATCCTATCTACAGTAGTTGCTGTAGGACAAATAACTGTCTGCCATTCATCTGTAGTGAGTTCGGTTGTCAGTCTGCTGTTTACCTCAGCTCGCAGTATTTGCCCACGTCTATTTACTCTGGAGGAGGCTGTAAACCTTTGTGAAAGGAGTCCCAGTTGATGAGTCAGTGAAGCTCACTTCTATCCAATGACAGCAGCGGTGAGGTGAGCTGTTGAGGATATCCTACATTTTTCTGTAGGTCAAAACTGATATTTTGCAGCTGTTAGCCTCTGCTAGATGCTTTTATCCAGCACAAATTTTATTTGAAATAGAGCTACCGTTGTTGGGCACGTAGCAAATAAACTCTCATTTGATGTGAGAATTAAATCAAACTGGGTAGGCGTTTATAATAATGTCACACTATTCAGCTTTACTAGGGTATTAATTAGGCATTAACAAGTACTTAATTCATCATTGTTATAGCATTAATCTTCCTTCATAAATACCAAAATTCTGACTATGATTGTTGCTCTCAGTGACGTAGCAGCAGTGATAGCTGCTCACGGTGTAACAGTAATAGATGGATAAACATATGTGTATTTATAAATGACACAATAACGAGGATATTGGTCGCCAGTCTCTAGCCGAATACATAAAACATAAGTAAGCAGATATCCATTTTGACCACTATATTTAACACGGCATCCACAAACCGTGCCTACTCCTATGTATTTTCAATGGATTAATAATAAGCTTATGACAATTCAATTCAATTCAATTTATATAGCGCCAAATCACAACAAAAGTCGCCTCAAGGCGCTTCATAGATACAGAGAAAAACCCAACAATCATATGACCCCTATGAGCAAGCACTTTGGCGACAGTGGGAAGGAAAAACTCCCTTTTAACAGGAAGAAACCTCCGGCAGAACCAGGCTCAGGGAGGGGCGGCCATTGCTCGACTTGGGGAGAACATCGCATAACGGGACTTCGCCGGGTGGACTATAAAAAAGGAGAGAAGTCAGACGCGAGGCACAGTGGTGTCAATCAGAATTATGAGGAGAAAAATACATGCTGTGGAAGAGAGACAGAGGTTAATAACAGATATGATTCAATGCAGAGAGGTCTATTAATACAGCGGTCCCCAACCCCCGGGCCTCGGACCGGTACCGGTCCGTGAGTCGTTTGGTACCGGGCCGCGAGAGTTGAGGCTCAGGTGTGAAATGTATGGTTTTCAGGGTTTTTATCGGTTTTCAGCGTTATTTTGTTATGTTTTTATCGTTTACTCGGTTTTCCTGGGTCTTTTCACGTGTGTTATGAATAAATCTTCTTTTTTACGTACTATACGGCCTAAAAACATAACTACGGCTACCCCAACAACCACATAAATAAAATATGATCTTTTATTTTGTTGTATTTATTCGCGACACCTTAAAGGCTCGGTCCAGTGAAAATATTGTCGGGCATAAACTGGTCCGTGGCGCAAAAAAGGCTGGAGACCGCTGTATTAATACATAGTGAGTGAGAAAGGTGACTGGAAAGGAAAAACTCAATGCATCATGGGAATCCCCCGGCAGCCTACTCTATTGCAGCATAACTAAGGGAGGATTCAGGGTCACCTGGTCCAGCCCTAACTATATGCTTTAGCAAAAAGGAAAGTTTTAAGCCTAATCTTAAAAGTAGAGATAGTGTCTGTCTCCTCGAATCCAAACTGGAAGCTGGTTCCACAGAAGAGGGGCTCGTGAAAAACTGAAGGCTCTCCCTCCCATTCTACTTTTAAATACTCTAGTAACAACAAGTAGGCCTGCAGAGCGAGAGCAGAAGCCTGCCTCTAATAGGGTGATATGGTATCTACACGAGGTCATTAGAGATGAAAGGAGTAGGGGCTCGAGTGATTATTTAAGATCCGTTGCATATATGTGAGGAAGCAGACTATGTATGAGATTCAATGTCATTGGAATTTAACAGGAAGCCAATGAAGAGAAATCTGCTCTCTCTTTCTAGTCCCTGTCAGGACTCTTGCTGCAGCATTTTGGATCAGCTGAAGGCTTTTCAGCGAGTTTTTTGGACATCCTGATAATAATGAATTACAGTAGTCCAGCCTGGAAGTAATAAATGCATGAACTAGTTTTTCAGCGTCACTCTGAGACAGGATATTTCTTATTTTAGAGATAGATTTAGAGACAATCCATCAGTTTGTTAGAAGACAGTAATCAGGGTATATTTATGAGTGCAATAACTATTTTTTATAGTCTAAAAAAATAATTTACTGCACCTTTAGCTTGCAAAACAGAGCTACTGTTAGACCTTAACAGTTAACTACAGAGCAATGCCAGTACTCTATTCTAATTAAACTGGCTGATCCACTTTGTTAAATAGACTAAATGGGGGGAGGCAAAAGGGCTTTCCGTCAAAATCCTTTAAATCCACACACAATCAGGACATGTTTAATTTGAATTTGAGTGCGCTCGACTGTTGCGTAATCTTAATGTTACACAAGGCTTTAATCATTTTCTGTTTTTAATCCAGGCAGACTGATTGAGAGTGCAGTGTGAAAAGAAACCATACGAGGTCAGTATTGCTTCATCGAAAGAAAGTTTGGGTCGTTGTGACCTAAAGTGGAGCAACATTTAGACCATCGGAACTACACGATAATTAAAACGTACAAATATGACTATTTCATTTCATTTGAAAAGACTATGAAAGCTCTTATGTGATCATGTGTTCAAATACAGAATAGGCCTATTATTGGAGAGATGGTGGTGGGGAGGTGACCTGCTTTTATTTGCTCCTGATGAATCCTTATGTCATTTACATATTAACTACAACTACGTCTCACTTTTAAATGTCTCCAGTCGCCTGCTGAGAATTAATTGGTAACCACTGTGTGATCCGGTGTGACTGCGCCCCTCCCCTCCCTCCCGAGGATGCAGGACGGGTTTACGGTCCTGAGTTCTGACTCCTGACGGCACAGAGAAGCTCCGCGATCATCACGAGGACAGTCCATAATCGCGCTCTGGCATCTGATTTCTTTCTTTTAATTTCTTTCTTTTTCTTCTTTTTTTTCTTGCGCCTTTTCTTCCCCCCTTAAAAAACACCCTTCTTCTCTGACAGCATGAAGGAACTCGCTCTTTTGGGATAATTTCAAGTATGGATCGCTTCAAATGTACATTTCCGCGGAGCTGCAGCTGAGCTTTCGTTCAAGTCTGACTGGATTCTCGCAGCGTGATGGATATAAATGAGTTCGCGGTGCTGAAACTTTTTGTTGTTGGGGTTTTACGTGAGTATTTGATTGATTGTTTTTATTTAACTATCATTGAAATCTCCTCCTCATCCTGTCTGAGCTGTAACAGAAATTGCTTCACATAAAAACAGCTCTTTGCAGCCAGAGTTGTTTTCCATGTATCTTCAGATATGCGCACTGGAGCAGGATGCTATTCTCTGATTCCGTGCTGCACATTTACACCTGCAAATGCAAATACCCCTGCGTTGGTCTGTTATATTAATGCGCTCCTCTGCACTGCCCAGCTGCAGAGCGCACACAGTCGTGTTCTCTAGGAAGTGTCAGGAACATCTATCATATCTCATAACTCATGCACTGAAGGGAGGATAAGCAGTGTTGCATCACGGCATCATGCCCCAGTGGACAGACCTGACCTATATATCAGGGCCAGTGTTTTTTTTTGTTTCTTTTTCTGGTACAATAAAATCATGTATGAAATCAGGTTTCCGTGGGGTGCCAAATGTAGATGTTCTGATGGATGGGTTGCGTTTTGCTCTGTACTGACAGAGTGCTCAGTGGTGGCTGCCATCAGTTATAATATGAACCTCAATAACCTGCTGTTGTGACGGAGCCCTTTTGACAGCCTATAACCTATAACAATCAAAATCAGGGAGGTGTAATCCACATAATGACTCGGTGATGAAGAGGAGTTCAGTTGCAGAGACTCTTTCCACGATCTATTGAGCTGTTATATTGTTTTGGCACCATCTTGACACTCGCTGAAAATACCCTTCTTTTCTAGTAGCTACCTCTGTACACCTGAGGTGGATAAAAGAAAAAAAGCTGTGTCTAACACACTGCAGAAAGTTCTTTTTAATGACATTTTAATGCCAGTTAAGCTTGCTGTATGCTGAAGGATGTGGTCAGTGTCTTGCCAGGACCTTCAGCCCACAGTCCCCTGGACCTCTGCCATGTAACAGCTGTCAGCGCTGTAAGGCCAAGAAAAACTTAGATGGACATTTTCTGACAAGATCATCCTTCCAAAATTCCCAGTCTGCTGCAATAAAAAGCCAAAGAAAATTAAATATTATTATGCATGCACTCAGACTGGAGAGATGGCGGAATAGCCGCAGATGCTGCTACAACAAGTTATATTCCCATGATGTAAGGACGCACAGCAGCGGTTTCCTGTGACAGCTCTTGTCTGCACCAAAAGATTTTCCCATCAAGCTCCCTATCAGGGAGACAAAGCAGATGCCGTGCGTTCAAAGAAAACCCGAACACACTGCACTGAGTCGCCACCAATTGTTTTCTTTTAGTGGAGGTCTGGCGTATTGGGTGCAGCCGAAAGTAGAGGAGAGGGTCCCCATCTGTGCTGCAGAAAGAGAGTGATTCCCCCTGACTGTGAGGCATCTGCTAAGCCCAGTAAACAGTTATTCATACTTTCTGACAGTGAGGGGAAAAAGCCCCGAGGCCCCTCTGTTTCAGCACCATGTGAAGAAGAAGAAACGAAGAAAAAAAATGCTGTGAAGGTGTGTTTTAAAGCTCTTTTAAAATGCTATTCATAGACCTGCTGGGAGATGGAGCTCTTTTTTTAATGCATGTGGCTGCTGTCTTATCATCTAGACGAGGCAGACATTCACTGCTGTTTAGGAATCAAGAGAAGTCATTTTTATTAATGCTGACTGCTGAAGCAAATAAGGAATAAAGGAAAATGCAACTTAAGGCAAAAAAAGAAGAAGCATAGTTTCATTACAGTATTTTCTCACCATTCACTGACAGGGAACCAACATTAACCATGTTTTTACAGGCTCCCTCAGCTCTAGCTCACATTATCTTCGAACATTTAGTGCAAAACTGACGTGACAGAACAAATAAATGCCACTGCCACTGGTCAGTGTCATCAAGGGTGGTAGCAGTCAGCAAAGCCAAACTCAGCTTAGACCAGGCTTAGGCTGAAATATTTGTTTCATCCCTGGGGTGAATAAAAAAAAATTAAGCTTGTTTTTGTTTTCTTGTCAACATATTCCACAAAAAGCCAAAGCCAGCTGTTGGATTTGAGTTGACTTGACTGATTTTGAAAATTATGTGCTCTGATTAAAGCCGCTTCACCATGGTGAAGCTGGTCCCAAGAGCTAAGCAGTGTTGCGCCTGGTTAGATGGGAGACAGCCTGGGGATACCAGGTGCTGCAAGACTGTGGGTGGTTCAGGAGAAGGAGAGCTCTGAGGTGTTTTCCTTCGCAGTGAGAAAGTATGAATGGGGTAAGCAAGTTGTAAAGTAGTTGGAAGTTTGGTAGTTAGATCCCTGGCTCTGTAGTCTGCATGGGGAAGATACTGAAACATTTGATGTGCATGACTTTAAGGCAGAGAGCTCTTACTCTTAGAAAAGTACTCTATGTGCTTTCATGAATGAGCCATGTTACATACAGAGTAGAAAAGCACTATATAAGAACCAGTCCGTTTACCAAAAAAACCCCAACCTCTTATTTCTGAAGCTAAGTGTGGCTATTAAAAGCTCACTGGCTTATTTGATATCATGGTATTACCTTAAAACAAGGTTGTGAAAAAAAACAAACATGTTTTGAAATATATGCTTTTCACAAGATCCAGTCAATTTAAAAATAATCCCGTGTTCTTAGCAGAGATGAATGGCCTCAAGCTTGACAGTAACACGCTGCTAGTTTTCATCTTTTTATGAGATTTGTTAAGAAAAATATCGGTTACAATAGTGAGACACACCAGCTGTTCCCACAGGTGAAGTGTCATAAGACTGTCCGACGCTGCAGTCCTCTGCCGGGTTAATCTGACGTCATTATACTCAGGAAAGGGCACGTTTGAGTGAAAACCGATGGTGTGAGAAAGCTTTCAGTTTTGCTCGTGAACGAGTCGCTGTTACTGCTCAGCTGTAACAGCGGTGACAGCATGTTCAGAGTGTTGTTAATCTTTCAGATGCCTGTTAAAGTTTCATGCACCATGAGGGGCTTGAACTTTGTCTCCCCGCTCATCCTGCTCATATCAAAGTCTAATGCCGAGGTCTTCCTGAGTCCGGGCTACTGTGCAGTGTTGGTGATGGACCCATTAGTCATGTCTGTCTCTTTAAGGTTTTTCACTCAAAAAACCTATTTACATGTGCATTAGTGATTCATAGATGAAACAAGTAAACATAAAGGTTATCATGTAGTAAAAATGCTGAAATGTTTTCCTTCTCACCGATCTAAATGATGCAGCCCCACAGGAAAAACTGCACAACTGAGGACTGAAGCTTAATGGAGATGAAGAAAAGCTCGATGTGCTCTTTGAGGCACAAAAGCTCCTGCAGGTCAAATAATATGAGGACTGCAAACCAGCAGCTCATTAGCTAATATTTACAGCAGCCGTCATTGCTGCTTGTTTCACAGCTACACAGCAAGAGGGCAGAGTTACCTGGAGACCGGACAGAGGGAAGGTTTCTCGCCTGCAGATCCGGCTCTAATGAGCTCGACTGGAAATGGGAAGTAAGCTGAATGTGTAATGATAGACCGACACCAGTTACTGAAGCCAGGCTTAATGACAATGTGCCATTTTATCCACAGAGGACAAAATATTTTCAGTCGCCCAGTCACTTAGTAAAAATACATACAGTTTATTTCTATAGCACATTGTTCTGTACAAGTTGTACAAAACTTTCACTACGCATTACAGTCACTAAACCGACAAGAAATATAGAGTAAAAATCAAATAAAACAAGACTGCTGAACTAGAACCGGTAAACTGGTTTTTAACAGTGTTTTAAAGTGACTGAGAGACTGAGCAGCTCTTATGTGACACAAGAAAAGCCTCTGTCGCCTCTGCTTTTAAGCTTGGATCTAGGAATATTTTAGACCAGCTAGTTGTAGACCTCAGTGCTCTTTATATCATGCAGTTGACAAAGTCACAACTGAGCCAACATCTAAAGGATTACAATAGTCTAATCAAGAGGTAATAAAAGCATGAATTACTCTCTCAAAGTCATGTTGCTTGGAGGCATACCTCACCTTACAGAAGAGCCTTTGAAATACACTTGTCTTAACAACAGATCTAATCTGTTCATCGGATTTTAAAGCACAGTGAAAAATCACACCAGTGACATGTGGCAGTAACACGTTGAGAGGCCTGTCTTAGCTGTCATACCCATCTAACAGGCTGGATTGCTGGAAGTAAATAATTTCTCTGTTGGTTTTGTTCAGATTGAGGAAGCTTATCTCCAACCATAACTGTACATCTTTAGGACAGTTCACCACAGCCTGAAAGGGAGCATGGCTGTTTGCTTGTGTCGAAGCTGTTTGTTTAGGTTTCTTCAGCACAGAAAGGGGTTTGCAGCAGCTGTGAGAAGGGATCATTCACAAGGCCTGCAAGATCTGCGATGCTGATGATATCACAAACTGTTGTATCGTGCAGATCTAAGACATTAGAAAGGGAAGAGACAGTTTAGAAATGATATAGAGGAAGAGGGCCTTGAACAGGGATTGGGTAAAGTTTGAAGGTCAATCAAACTTTGTCTTATAGTAGTTTTGTTGTATTTGTGATGATTTTGGCTACTGCTATTAAACTATGTACAGGGAAAGATTTCAGTCAAAGTAATCAAAGTCAGCTTCAGTTGTGCAGTGAGAACTGGACACATGAAAGAAGTCTGATGAAACCCCTCGAGTGCTGCCACTTGAATCAGAATGAGTTTCAAAATGGCCAAAAAAAGGAGAAGAAATCTGTGGTTGTGGACGTAGAGCCAAGAAACCTCACAAGAACTCTTCATCTCCCTCCTCATTTCATTTCTACTTGAAGCAAAACCTGGAGAATAAATTATCCCCGGCTTGCGTAACACAAGTCTGCAACAGAGCCCCCCGTGGCTTATTTGCAGCAGTGTGTGTGTGTGTGTGTGTGTGTGTGGGGGGGTTATCTGTCAGCTTCTGACAAGGAAGAAGATTGTGAAATGAAAATGATGATTTCTCTGATTCTGTTCGACATATTTTAAAACCCTATTCTGACCTTTCCATTTGGAGTCTTGTAGAGTTACTGGAGTCCACAGCTGAGTTTTTCTTGTA